ATATTGATGGAGAAAAGACCCACTCGTCATATTTCTCTTGGTGCAAAATCATGAACAAACTAAGTCTCTTAATTGAAATAAACATTGACTTCTTTACTGAAACATATAGTATATGTATATATATCATATGAGAATAAGGTGACCAAACAAAAATGGTAAAGTCGAAAGGAATAATCCACGAAGAACCGCGGAGATATAATACACAGTGCTAACAAAGTTCTGGTTGCTTCCAGCTTGGTATTTCACTGAGGTAGCACTCTGAAGTAGGCATCAGATCTCACGTACATTACACACACGGAAGCACGTTTTTAAATGACATCAGGTGTTAATAGAACGCCAAACCCAATAGAATTAACAAAATCTCGCAAAAATAGACAATCCAGAGGTTACAGAAATGAAGCGTTTTCTGAGCATCATGTATGACACCTCATCATGGATTACCGTTTTGTTCACACATAGATTGTTTCCTGGAATCCTCCTCATTACTTACCACTCGATGCTTTATTTAACAGTAAAATGCGTAAGAGAAGGTTTTGTCGTGTTAATTATCCCTGATAGAAAATTTGAATGGTTCTACATGTATCACATATAGTAATATAATACCTTATGTGTATACGTATACCTATGTAAACTAATTACATTAACAACTCGGGTCAACCGTGAAAATACACATTATTAGTTTTCAAATTCTCTCTGCACAAATGAGACACCTGTTATCTACTGTGCTACTCAAATATTGATGTTATAAAACTACATAATAGATGTGAAGTAGCTAGAGTGTAAACACGCTATAAGAGTGACCGAAGTCCTATGTTTTGGCGTGCCTTCCGAGGACAGCTTTTCCTTGACCTGTTTTGGCGTCGGATTATGATTGCCTTCACGCATAGTTTGTCAATGATCATCGTGCTACCCTGACGATATGTAAACAATACAGTGAATTATACCTACACGGTTACAGGTAAACATAATACAGGTAAATACGGGTCCGCGAGACGACTCTCCGTGGCTATTGATTTCTTTGGGAAACAGAATAGCGACCATTTGTAGCCATCACATGCCTCTATTTTATGTAAAGGTGATTCGAAAATACATTGTCTCCCTCCTAACAGACATCCTCCTGTGGTTATCCATTCTGTAAAAAATAGGTGTCCACTGGGACAGCTGACCATATAAACACCCTAACATTGAGCCACCCGGTCATAACTGTGATGAATCGATTGAAGACCTGAGCTATTTCGTAATTCAATGGATGTGCATGTCAGTCATGTTGAATTACCGATCAATAGCTGATCAGCTCAATAGTACAGAGACTAACGTACCTACCCGTGTCTGGCACCTTACAGATAGAAATACGTCAAAAGTAATAAGGATTTAACAAAGGGCTTTAAACACCACGAGTCGAACTGGGGCATTTTTAATTCTGTGTATACCTAACGAGGTAATGGTGTATTTATAGATGTGTATGTGTTCTGGGTACTGTCCTTTATGGATTATGTTTGATGTGCGTTGAACACAGGAGTTAACCCTAGAAGAAGAGCTTTACGTTTACCGTCAGGGAGGGTGGTCACTATCAATCAGAGGCGTTACGATGTTTGTATCAAGAAGGAATGAATACATACGTGCATTTATTTGAATTACGTGAAATATTATGTGTATTAGCTGTGTGTTTACATAGTAGGAAAGGGCTCAGAGTGTCGTGACTTTTACAGGCGAAAAGCAACATGGAGGGAACTGTGTGTACATATACAATGTAGGAACTCGTGAAGGGATTAAAAGTCGGTGTATTATGGAGAACATATGGCTGTTTTAGTAATATACGTATAACGCAATCAGAAGAAAATGTAATCAGAACTCAGCAGGTATAACTCAGACGGTATAACTCAGCAGGTATAACATACCAAATGCTAGTTCGTCTGTTTAGAATATTACGAGACTAGGTCGATGAGCGGAATGATATCTGGAAATCCTGTTAATTTGGTAGAAGGACAGACGTTAAAAAAGATAAAGGTGAAATCAGCCGCAACAGCAACTACTGATGACGTGCAACTGGAGCGTGATAAACGCCGGTGGAAGCGGGAGAAACAACAGGCTGTGTACACGTCACTGTTTTGGGGTGTCACATCTGTCTTCTTATTTGGACTTGGCATATCCCTCATTGTCGTTGGTGTCCTCAACGATATACAGGATTTACTTATCCTCGGATCTATCTTTTTAGTAGCCGGAGTTGGATTTATAATCCTTCTGTCGGTGCTTGTGTGTAAACCTATGATAACAAGGTGGAAAAACAGAGTGACACCATCAAATAAGGATGACCGATTTACGAACACAAGTGAGGAAATAACTCCAGACGATGTGAAAAAGCAACGAAAACCTACAGCATTCCAGCTTTATGGCGAGAATAAAATTATTCACGTGCCAAATCCCAAAGAGCTGTCCGACCCTGAATTTCCTCTCCCACCGATGGTGTACCACCCTAACGACGCGGGTGAGGAGCACGCAGCGGTGGTCCAGCTGCCTTTTCACCTGAAGACCGAAAGTGAATTACATGATGCGCCTATTTCTTGATGGCAAGCTAACCGTGTTAGTGTTCGTTGGATACCGGTATTGACAAAGTGCACATGCATTGCTAAACTGATATGTTCATGATTGAAGTCAAAAGTCATTTTTGTTTCTCATGTTTTTTGTATGTTTTCTACTTTTATATTTACCTTCAAGTAATATCTGAATATACAAAATATATCACTAATTACTTGATATTATTCCTAACGTATTATTCCCATTTTATTGAGTGACATGTATTTCATAGGTCAATATTACAATGTGTTAAAAACACATAATGAATTATTACGCTAGTGATGCATTAATGTCCTGATTACAAGTACACGCTTACAGAATTGTAGTGTGCATATATTTGTCAGTACTACAGCTGTAATTTACACACGTACATGAGTTATTATTACAGCTGTTATATAACAAGCATAATAGTGTCTGTAGTTTGACACGAGGTGGATATACATGTTACATACGTTATACGTTATAGAAATCCCGATACCAATTGTACATGTAACAATAATTACGGTTAATGTGTCTGACGGGTTTAATTAGGAATATATTTTTTATATTGTGAAATACTCTTTCAGTGTTGTTAAGTGCTACTCAGAGAATAGCTTCATTGTTTTTTAAAGTATTACCTACATATTTTGTCCATACGATATTTTTATTTTATTCCGTTTCTGTTGTATTTTTTTTTATATCTTATATTTTTACTTACATATATTTTTATCATGCTTGTACTTATAAGTTATGTAGAAGAAAAACAATTTAAAGTTTTTCTAGTTGGCCATAATATGTAATGCCATGGTTAGCGTTCCGTGGTAATACTAGTAACATGTTGATAAATGCAAATGAACATTTGACGTCCATGAATCCCACTCGTAGTTTGTATAGGATGCATTTTTTTTGTGTCAATTTCAAGCCAAATTCTTGTCAATTGCAGGTCAATTTTACACGAAAAGAGAAAAATAATGTCAATTATGAAACATTGCCCTCAATTTGACCTGAAATTGACAGAAATTGATATGATAATTGCTCCTGAAGTAAATCTGACCTAAATGTGGAATGACATTTTTTACCTGAATTCATTTTTTTCCAGATCAATTTATCTTGAAATTGACGTGAAAAGGACTTGAACAAATTGATCTGAATTTCCGGTAAAAAAAATTCAGGTCAAATTTACCTCAAGAAATTTTGTCTGTGAAGGATTAAAAGATTCAGGATAATTGTAAGTAAAGCTAGTGATTCCATTTTTTTTCTTGCTGGGTAATTTCTCTGGTTTCGGCATTTGTCGGTATGTCATGAACTGTGATATTAATTCTGTAACAATACAGGAGTCATGACGTATGAGACGAAGTGATATTGTTTGTTTGTATACATAAATGTTTTCTAAGGCTTAACCGAACGTCCGAAAGTTCGTAGGGTTGTATAACTTAATGATTGTATTCTTTTAAGTTAATAGGTTTAAAAGTTCGTAGGGTTATATAACTTATTGATTGTATGTTTTTAAGTTAATAGGTTTGTAAGTTCGTAGGGTTGTATAACTTAATGATGGTATGTTTTTAAGTTAATAGGTTTGAAAGTTCGTAGGGTTGCATAAATTAATGATTGTTTGTTTTTAAGTTAAAAGGTTTGTAACTGCGTAGGGTTGTATATTTGATTGTCTTTCAACATTCGTCAGTTTTCTGATAGAATGACGTGGATTGGTAACGAGTTGACCTTAGTGAACTAGACTTACTAGACAATAAAAGACTTCCGTGAAGACTGATACACGTTAGTGCTGTGTTATAACAGGCAAATGTAATGGTTAGCTACACGCTTAGATATATTGAGCAATAGCTGTCGTCTGTGAAGGTAAATAACACATATTTATTACGCAAATTAGAATAATACATGTACCAACATTTCAAAATGGATACGAAATTCCTGTTTAACATTTGTTTTCAGATATTCTCGAGATAATGGTATTTGCTGGTAGCATGGTAGATAAAATGTAACGTAGAAATAGCTATAAATATTTTTTCACACAACACTTAGACAATGAAAGTTTCATAACAATGCATACTGATACCTACCAAGATTTAAGTTACCCATTTCTATGCACAAGATTGAACTCAACTACACAACGTTCTGATATATTTTAACAACTTTCAATGAATTCCCTCTCGTTGTCAATTACAATAACAAGTTTGTTGATTGATAAAATCCAATGACTCTTTGGAATTAATAAAGTAACAACACAATATTTTTCTTTGGTTTCAAATTCGAGTCATCAAAGCATATAAAACCCATGGTCTATGATTACCGATACATTTAAAACAATTCCGAAACATGCACACGTACATAATATGTAATACACTCACGCGTGTAAAATATGTAATACACGCACACATGTATAATGTCATACTATACATGTACGCTCACATACGAATTATTTGTAACACATGCGCACATATTGTAACGTTATTTATTAACAGAATTATCTGAGATAAGTGGGTCGGTTTCAGATCCAGTTTTATCCAATGGTGGTGTACGTTTACGAAGTCGTCTGTTTATATTGCACTCCTGTAACATAAAAAGGAATATCTAACTTTTAAAGCACATAATGTAATAAACAATTTATACACCGAGGAATAGCGTAGAACATTAAGCTTAGCATCACCAATGTAATGTTGTCCTGTCAAATTCTAATTCTTTGCTCGGTTATAACTATGAATACAGTGGAATGCATACCTGCACATTGAAAAGTTACATTATGATAAGCTTAATTACGTTTAGTTGCAACCATTAACATACACTATCAGAATATGTTTATGTTAAAAATAACTTGAAATGTCTATCTAGGTTTCGTCTGAATACATAATAAAGTGAAACGCTAACATTTCTAGCGATGAACTATTCTTAAAGAACTTTGCTTATATATGAATAGGGTTACCACGGATTAACTTTAACGTCGCATACATCTGGAAACTCTGGTAGAGACATGTGGAAAAGGAAACTCCTGTATGTAATGGAGGTGGATAGACCATTCATCACAGATGAATCATAAGTTGAAGTACGACCTAAGGGTCCACCGAGGGTTTTAAATCTTATTTATGATTCAGTGTATGACCGGTAAGAGATGCATTCTCTATCACCCTACCGTTAGATATCGAAGAATATTTTCTCCCAAATCATGTATTTAAATCAAACATTACATCTGCTCAACAATCTCTAACTGTTACCATCCTACGTTATTCTAAATAATAGTAAAATCTGATTTGTCAAAGGAATGAATTGTGCGGTCCCTAAAACAAACAGCAACCTCATTGCTTGCAAAAGAACAAACCATCTTCAGAACAGAGTTCATAGGTAACTTGCTACAGTTGTATTAGCTTTGCAGGTTTTCATACTACTTCGTGTAGACGCCGTATAAGAACTTGCTAACCAAGATACTTTTAAACACAACTCATGTTAACAATTAACTTACATTTACTTGATATTTATAAATAATTATTAATTAACTTTAAGATAAACGAATTGTCGTCCACAGTTACTAATGTTGGTAATCATCCGTAAACGCATTCTGACCAGAAAATACTTTTTTGTTTAATATTTCATACGTTTTCTAGAAAATCTACCATATTTATCTGTGCATGTTCCATATCAATGACGAATGTTACAAAATTTCGTGAAAATGGTGACAGAAAAGAGTCAATCTTTCTGTAGTTATGGGGGATATGGAATGAATATTATCCAGATCTATACATCTAGTGCATTTGATAGACCCTAATGCTAATAAATACTTGTTGTGACGACACTAGAATGCTATATGGTTCATATGCCTATTTAACTCATCATTTCATCATACAATATAGGCGATGCATCAATTATTTAAAACATAACATAGAAATACACTTAAACACTGGTTGTCACTTGATTCGGTGCCGACTTACTGATCGTATATCGGATACGTTCATGAAGACTGCACTTAGGAAAGACAATGCAGTGAGACAGGCGAACAACAACAGCATATACTGGTACTTCTGGAGCCGGACATCTACATCCTTCCTGGAAACCAATAACATCTCTCAAGCATTATGGCGGTATATACGTGTACTTAGATTGTGCTCTGTCATTGTTATCGAATTGCACAATATGGCATGTCTAAAAATAGTAAGTTTATGTATAAGAGGTATGAATGTATCTCATACAATTGTCAATACAATATTTATTTTTATTCTTTCACTGTGATACACAAACTATGCTTCATTCTTCAAAAAGGATATTTTCTAAACTGGAAAAGTCAAAGCATGTTCCTAAAATATATTTGTTCAGAGATAACTAGTGTATGCAAAATAATTTACGATGTATATCGCTGAAGTTTGTAGATTATACAAGGAGTATAAATACTCTATTGGATTCAGTGTAATGCAATGTTTAGACAGTTGCATTAAATATTAACATTATTATGTTATTGATTTTTACACAAATTTATACTCCACTGTACAAACAGGTTACTAATTAATATATGTACATTCTATATAAAGATACGTATAATGAAACCCACAGTAGAAATAAACAAGTGACAGACAAACTTTACAGATAACTTACTCCTCTTTTTGTCCAAGGATGGTGCCCACAATAAGGGCGGACGTCCCCATACCTATTCCCATACAGCTGGACGCCAGACCGGCCGCTGTCCCGTACGACGTCGGGGGTATCATTGCCATCATAGCCTGCCACAAGATTATCTACAAATATAAAAGTCTATTTCAAATGCCTCGTACTGTAAGTAAACAATCGTTGAGTAAAAGTCTACAACAAGATTGTCTAACAATACAATAATAGTTTGGTCATACATTACATAGAATGTGTTTGCATGTACATCTGACGACTTTTTATTGTTGTTAGTGTGTCGTCATAGTTACGATCACTTGGCAAAAGGCAATACAGTGGATATACATTCTCGCATAGTTTTTCATATGAATAAACCATTAGAATATGAATTGAAGACCATGAAATGTCAAAATAATTAAAACATCGGTGTATTTGACCCTTTAAATAAAAAATATGTGAATGAATGCCAATGTCTGGTACAATTGTAATATAGTGACTATGCCTAGGGTTTCACGAACCTGCATTGATACAACGATGGTTGCAGTTTAAATGTAACAGAGTTATATCCCTTTGAACAGCTTTTACTCGCATCTGATGGCAATGTCTATGTTACATTAATAGTAGATCAGAACTCGGATGGGTTAGTCTTACAATGTGGTAATGTAAATATCAAAACACATGAAATCACTTACAAAAATGTGTTTCCCGCTCTAAAATCATTTTAAAACCCTAAATAAATAGTAATAGTTTTAGAACAAATCTTTTAAAAAAGAACTCGATTGAAATCTTTGAGCAAATCAGGTTCTGTACAGGTTTTGGCCCTGAACAGTAATGTATCAATATAAAGAAAAAGCTGACAGCAAACGACACGTCCAATAGACAGCGAGAATGAGACGTTACCGCATTGCAGTTGAAGGTGACGCCGATACAGATGGACATAGCTAGTGGCGACACCTGCGACACGTAAGCGAGCGTCAAGTACACAGGTATTGTCACTAAGGTTGCCACCATTCCCACGATACCATGGCAATCTATCTTTTCCTGAAAACAGTGAAATGGACATCAAAGTAGAACCCCAATGAAAATGACACTTAATACAGTGAAAGAGGATAAAAAGAATATCATGGATGGTCGAAAATGAAAACAAATTCAAAACAGGTCAATAATGAAAGGACTAAGAGGTAGATTAACTATAAAAATAATACTGAAGTAAGTCATTGTCAATAAAACTAGACTTCAGTAAACAATCCTGCAAAAAACAGACATGTTATCTCCGTTTTTCAAGGTTTTATATGCGGGTGTGTCTTAAAGAAGAAGAGGTTGACGCTCTAAGAAAAAAAAGAAAGAATATCTATAATATTGGAAAGAATATACCAGTATTTTCCCAAAGATTGGAGCCAGCAGCGCCACGTCGTATACAGCGCCATTGACGTAAGATGCATCAGTCTTGGAGTAACCATAACGGTCCTGGAAAAATTTTCTAGAAATAAAATCAACACCTATTTCTTAAACAAACATTCACCTAACAGGATCAAAACATATTGTTGATAAATCTCTTTGATAAATGTCAACTCAGAAGCTAAAAGGTAGCAACAATTACAGTATAGCTTTCACATAAAGTAGACGTAGAATAAGTACTAACGCTAATAGGAACATCAAGGACTTACGTGGCATTGGAGACGAAGGGAATGACAGAGCTGTAGAAACAGGTGAGCATCACGATCAGATACCAGTAGGAGGAGGGGAAGCTCTTCATGTCTCTTAAGTTCTGTTAAAAAACATATCAGGAATTACTCTCTGTAAAAAGTAATATCAGGAATTACT